TACACATACACACACACACACACACACACACATACACACAGACACACACACACACATACACATACACACACACACACACGCACACACACACATACACATACACACATACACTCACACACTCACTCACATACACACGCACACACAAATCGTGTGAAATCACATTCACATTTCCACACAAACACTCAGCACGTGTTCAAACTCAGAAATTGTTTTTGGAAGCGCAAAAAAAGAAGACAAGGACATGCCTTCATTGAAACAATTCATTTCATTTTAATGCGGGGGCAGATAGAACATGCATGTGAAATTATCAAAGGCGAGATAAGGCAGTATTTACACTTTTTTTTTGGGGGGGGGAGATCCGTTTAAAATTTTTATTTTTAACTGCTGTTTTGTTTGGGACCGTGCAAATACGTGATGCAGCGTGGTGGAATGAGGCTCTTGTTAATTTTTGGGCATGCAGAGTTATTGGTATCATCTTAAAGCTTCTTCACTTGTCTTTAAATGGATGGAAAAGATGTCCTTTTATCTTGAATACAAGTTGAGATATTTGCAAAAGAAGGAGGTAGAGGTCAACTGTTTTCAGAGGTAAAATTAGTGAGAAAATGGCCCCCAAAGAGTGGTTATTTCCTTAGCTTAAGAGTCCGTGGTAACTGAAAATTTCCATTTTTTTGTACCTTTAATCAACGTTTTTCAGAAAAATCCACACATAAATGAGTTCTTTAAATGCAAGTTTCTTCACTTTGATTATTTTGACGAGAGCCTGATTCCACCACGCCGCCTCACATTTTTATTTTTAACTGCTGTTTTATTTGGGACCGTGCAAAATTTGGTTGTCTGAGTTACATGGCCCTGTCCCTCGGGTCATTCATTTACCATTCTTTGAGAACCAAAGGGATCTTTCCATTTTAACGACTTTTCGGTTTTGCTGAATTTTTGGCTTCAGAGTGTGCTATGTTTCTCACAGTCTTGTGATAATGATATATGAGGCAGCGTGGTGGAATCAAGCTGTCGTCGAAATAATCAAAGTGAAGAAACTTGCATTTTTCAGCAGGTTTGTGAATTTTTATCAAACTTTTTTTGGGGGGCTCAACACCTTTCATGCCCATTAAAGAACTCATTTCTGTGTGGATTTTACTGAAAAACGTTAATGAAAGGCACAAAAAATGTAAATTTTCAGTTACCTCGGAATCTTAAGCTATGGAAATAACTAATCCTTGCCGGCCATTTTCTCACTAACTTTTCCTCTGAAAACAGGTGACCCCCACCTCCTTCATTAGCAAATATCTCGACTTGTATTCAAGATAAATTGATATTTTTTTCATCCAATACCAATAACTCTACATGCCCAAAAATTAACGAGAGCCTGATTCCACCACGCTGCCTCACATATTAAGTTGTTTGCATTTTAGGCTGTAGACTCTTAATTTTTGGGAATCGGTTTGAGTTGGGGGGTTTTTTGGAGGGGAATGCACCTAAACTAATAGTGTGACTAGTATTGTTTTTCTGTAAAGTATTTGCATAGGTATTAACGGATGTCATAGTGACACCTGGGAGATCCTATACCTGTGTTGTTCATTGTTTGGGAGGGAGGGGGGGGGCTGTTATTTTTGTTGTTTTTGTTTTTACAGTTGACTGTCTTATTTATATCGTTTATTCGTTCATTCGTTCATTTATTAATTTATTTATTTGCTTTCATTTATTTGTTTGTTTTTAGCTGTTTATCTGTTTTTATTTATTTATCTATCTATTTATTTATTCGTTCGTTCGTTAATTTGTTCATTCATTTATTCCTTCATTGATTGCTTTATTTTTGGGTGTTATGTTTTTATGTATTAATTTATTAATATGTTTTATACATTTTTTTAAAAATGTATTTATTTATTTTTTCATTTATGTATTTTTTAATTGTTGTATTTATGTTTTTTTGTGGGGTGGGAGGGGGGGGGGAGGGTTGCTGGAAGCGGGAAAGTGGAAGAGAACATTCGAGATCATGTTTCCAGTTTCCCGACCTTTACCAGTCGAAAAAACACTTTCCGTGTTATTGAGAAAATCATTTCTAAGATCAATACGCGGTGACCAAACTCTCCGTTCCAATTATTGTCCAAATTCGTCCGTCTCGGGGCGACGGGGATCCCCCGACCGCTCTGTGGTTATTTCGACTTGTCGTGGCATTCAGCGACCGTCTGTCTGCTGGTACCGGTAGTGACTTTGGGCAAGAACTACTCTCCACAACCAGCCCTGAGGGCAACCGGGCTGGATTCGGTTCTCAATGTTTGAGAGCAGAGCAAAAAGAGCAAACATTTCACGGGAGCCAAAAGGAAGAAACGGAACGTTCTTCACAGGAGTCTTTGCCCCCGCCGTCATTTATTGCCCAAAGGGATGAAAAGCGACGCCGATGTAGTTCCGCTCTTTTTAATTTTCCAGGGCTGGGTCTGATTGCTTTATCTGTCGATTTTATGGAGATTTGCCTCCCTTTCTCGCGCCGACCGCCGAAATTTGG